TTAGAAGTAGTTGTTTATCAGGCAGGAGGCTGCCCATTTAATTGCCCTTATGCCAAAGGTGCATACACAGCTCCGAACCTTCTCTTATACCGTGCCCCATGCCTCAGAGCTGGCATCCATATCCACAAACTCCCCCAGCCTCTTAACTGGGCCACACTCAGTCTCACCCGGCCTAAACTTGGCCTCAGGCACTGTCAGACTCACCTGGGCCTCATGCCACCCACACTGGGGCCTCAATTCCCACAGACTCTGGGCTCCTAGCCTCTCCTCAGTTTTGGGCTCCCTGCCCTACTCTGGACCTCCTGGGTCCCCCCATGCCCCCACACTGAGGCCTCATCCCACTCATTCATCCCACCCCACTTTGGACTCAGGCTACTCTGTGATTCTGGGCCCTCTCTCAGGCCCCCTTTTCTAGCCTGAGCCCCACCTCAGGACTCTCTCAATGAGCCTGGGCCCTGTGCTTTTTCTTCAGGGTGTGCTTACCTGTCCTTTCCCCTGCACAGGGTCACCCACAAGGTGGCAGGGGCTGAGGTTTTCTGCTGCCCCATACTCACTGGGGAGGCATAGGTGTGGCATTTCCTGAGGGCTGCCCTGCCACAAGCAGCCCCACCGCACCACCCTCCCCAGCAAGCTGTAGTTTTAGGTCATGCCTCAGGACCAGGGACCTCCTCCATCCCCATAGCACCTACCCTGAACCACCAGGTGTTCTGGGAGCAGCAGCCCCAACTGCCAGCTCACTACTGAGGGCCTGGGTTTATATGGAGGCTTCTCAGCCCTCATCGTCCAATCCAAGAGCCCTCCCTCAGTCATGTGACTGGCTCATCAGGCTGTACTGCACCTACGGCTGCTCCACAACCTGCTTAAACCCCTTAAAGTGACAGGTACAACCTATGCTCTGTCAGAGTCACGGCATGGCCATAGAGCACTTTAAGGAGGCCAGTCACACAACAAACCTATCTTTGTTTTGCACCATGATTCACTTCACACAGGCCATCTAACAGATGTCAAAGTGGGTTTTCAAAAGCTACCTGCGACCCCTCTGTGTGCAAATCACAGTCACAATTGTAACATCTTGCTAGTGGTTTTTAAACCCAAACTGTTTATTTTTATTCCAAAGGCAGCACTAGACCTCATTGAATATAAGGGTAGCCCACTCCTGCACAGATCCATGATCCAACCCAGCAATGGCTGGGAAATGTACAGCATTTTTTATATTAAATTTTTAAGGCAACATGGTGTTTTTCCTCCTCTGGCAGTTTCATCACCGTTTTGGAATTTTGCTTCATAAATCTTTGAATACAGTATCAGACAAAAGATGAAGAGATGGTAGATACACAGCCTGGAGTAAGGATTGTGTCATTCTATTATCTTGCTTTTCCTGTATTAAGAGTAATGAATTCATCAAAAGACCTTTTCCAGGGCTGCACTTTGGGTTCAACACCTACTGCATTAATGTCACAAGTGAAAAGAACAGTGCTTGATTTAGCACAGATGTGCGAAAATGGTGTTCTTTCCCCACTAAAAAGAAAAAAGCCCCCTCCCTTTGCCCACCACTACTTGAAGCAGAGGCACAAAGATCTCTCTGTCATAATTCCCTAAGCACTGATGAAGGAAGTTTGAGCAGAGGATGCAAGAAGTCACAGTAATTATAGAACCTTGCAGTTTATTTAACAAAATGTCTGTGATTTCCATTTTGCAGCAGGTGATCACAAAGTGCAAAGGCAGTTAATCTGTAACTGAAGCATTGTAACAAATGCAAGGTTTCTCCAAGTAAAATCATGGAAAAGGAATGCAGCAAACTATTTCCCTCTTTACTGAATGAAAATACCTTTTACGGGTATTGCGAAAATAGGCCTGTGACTCCATACCTTATGAGCAGGACTAAAAAAAACAGCATCCCCATTAGCAGAGCTCAACTCCCCCTGCTTACTCTTAACAGTTGTGGCACCAACCCATTTCCAAAGTGGTTCCTTAAGTAACAGAATAAGTGTTCCAGTGCCAGGACTGTATCTCATTTGACTGTACCCTGACCAGCACAGTGAGGGCCCTGCTCTGACTACAGTCAGTAGGAGCTAACCCAAAATAAATAATAATTATAATTATTAAGCCTAGTACTTAATGGCATGTCCCTTAAAGCCATAGGATCCCCAGGGTCACAGCAGCCAACAATTCCACAAGACCAGACCTAAGGCACAGGAATTGTGGAGCACTGGCTTGAGAAGCAGCCAAGTAGGTGATGGCAGAACAGCATGGGTGAGGGAAAGCAGAAACAGTTATGCAGAGAGACACAGATGACCCACAGGCATATGTTTAGCAGCTGCAGCTGTCCCAGGCAAGCTATAGGGGAACCTGCAGCTGCATGCTGGCCATGCACAAAGAAGTGGCTTGCTGGCTAAGGGGAGAGACAGCAGGATGAAGAAGTTAGCCAAGGGTGGGGAAGCAGGATAGAGAAAAGATGAGCTGAGGAGCAGGAGCTACTGACCTGGCCAAAAAAAGGCAGTAGTCAGAAAAGAAAGATCTGCTTTACAGTGTGAGCCCTGGACCTTCTCTGTTCTGGAGCTAAGATGGGACGTGCAGAACATTTGGGGTCAGCTTCTATTCCATCTGTCAGTGAACTTTGGCACCTACATGCAATTCTATTTCACCCTGATCAAGTCCCTGAAAAACTTTTAATGCAGAAAGCCAGTGAGTCCTTCTCCTGCTTACTGCTTTCATGTGACTTGATACTAAGGGTGTGTTACAAAAGTAGATGCATTAATAGATTTCCATGGACTTGAATACCAAAAGAGATGCTACAAAATGAGAAGATTCACGCTAATATTATGGTAGTTGACTCTGCAAAGGAGTTCTGCCATTCTACTGAAGACTGCAGAAGCATCCTAGTGTAATGGGACACACCTCAATACTCTTCCTTTCACCAAGCTTAAAGGCTCCCCTTCAAACAGGGGGAGCTGCCCTTCCCTGTTTGCTCCCATTTGCTCACTCCCTAGTTGCCTGGGGAGTCTCTTTTTATACCCTTCTGGGCCTGGACTGGCTCCACCTCTTCATTAGCGCTTTTGTCAAATACAGGCAGCAATCACTCAGTGGTAGTTCCAGCTGCTCAGAGCACATGCCCAACACGCACAACCCACCCAATAAATACTCAGCAAGCCTCCTCCCTAGCTTGCTCCTGTGGCCATCTGGCCAAGGGCAAGTCAAACATGGGGGTATCCAAACCCCAAGCTTTTGGGCTTGGGTCTGCCCATAGGATGCCCGCCAAAGGATTTGGAAGGATCTGGGCTAGGGACAGACATGACACATTTAGCAGTTTAAGTGATTAGAAACTGGTTTAAATCTGTAACAGAACAGACGTTCAGTGCACATAAACCAGTTTGAAAATGGCTGAAACCAGTTTGAGATGAACCTGGTTGAATATAGTATCAGACTTAACTGATTTGGGTCAAACTAGTTTATGCAATGTCTGTCCCAGACCCCTTCCTGGTTTAACTTAAACCACAGTCCCACAGCATCCCAGATGCTTTGCAGCATGGGTGGGGCTCTGCTCCAGAACAGGGCTGACCCCATCCCTCTGCTCCCTGGCTGGAGCTCCAGCAGAGACTGCAGGTACACCAGCATCTACCTGGCTTTCCCCTGTCTGTCCCCACCACTCCCTGCTCAAGAAGGGATTCCCCCCCTCCCCTCTTCCATAACACAGACCATAGCTGACATGTGGTGTGCTAGCTAATGCTGAGAGATGTCTGTGTAAGGCAGACAGGACAAAGGCAGACAGAACAGTGTTTGCTCAGGGCTTTCTGGAGCTAAAAGAAGAGCTTGAACTAATGAGAGAAGCTTCTGTTTTCTTGATGGGCTGATAAACACTGTAACTCCCTGCTGTGTAAGTAAATTCCATGTAACTCCCTGCTGACTATCAAAGGTCAGGAGCAGCGAGGGGGGCGGGGGGAACTTCTCCCTAATCAGAGTGTCCTCCTGGGGCCTGGCCACTCCTTCCCCACCCCCCTGCCCTCCCTAGCTCAGTATTGTGGAAGGGAAGGGAGGGCTGCTTTAGCTCCCCCCAGCTTCGACCCTGAGGCACTGCAGGCATGTGGCTGCATTTCTTCAGTCCAGAGGGGATGTCTGTGCACTTATAAACCAGTTCAGCCTAGCTAGGTTAGACTAACCTGCAAAGATTGAATCAATTCAGGCTCAGGCTTTTTGAATGTCTGTCCCTAGTCCTGAAGTCCTAGGCAGGGGTGGAGGATGTTTGCCAGTGGTAGGGCCACATTTGGTTTTTGAATGACTCACAGATTTGGAATTGATTTGGCTGATTTGATTTGGAACAAGAAAAATGTTTCTTAAAGAAAAAAAAACAAACAAAAACAAACACTCAGTAAACCAAACACAAACAGGCCTGGGTCACTTACCTTCCCAGAAAAGGATCTGGTGCCTGGTGTCTGGCTTCTCTTCCTCTTCCCCTTCCTCCTCTTGCTCCCAGCAAACTGCTTGCAACAGCTTTCCTGTTTGCTGCCTCTGTTCACTTGCATTGCCCGGTTTTATTCTCCCATCTCTGCCATTACAATGAACTAATCCCTAGTTATTTGTTATCCCTTCTTCCAGTGTAGCTCAGTTGAAATGGGCCATTTTCAGGAAAGTCTTACAAGACAGGAACATCCCTTGTTTCAAAAATTCATTCTGCAAAAGGAAGCAGGTTCCCCAAAGAGATATGCTCTCCCAATACTTCTCCTGGATCAGTGAAGGGCAGGAAGAGAGAAGAGGAATTTTATTTTTATTTGTGCTTGGTTTCTAACTCATGGCCAAATATACCCAAATTCTGTATCATAAAATGTCACATACCATAACAGCTTTAACCAGCAGGAGCTAATATAACATTGGCTTTTAGTGCTGTAAATGGATGCACCACAAATGAGTAGCTTGAGTGATAAAGCAAAATTGTATGGCTAGAGAAATTCTGCCCCCTTCCATCTAAACTCTGGAGAGACAGAACCTAAGCAGTCTACTGGGTAAATTTTTTTTGCCTTATTCACCTGGACTGTCCCCATATAAATCAGTGAAGCAGCTCAAGGAAGTCAGGATTTTGCCCTGAAAAAAATGCCTCAGACAGAGGCCCACTGCTTTCATTAAGTTTGCACCTGGAAAGAGGCCAGGGGTGGGGGGGAGCAGGCCCTGTAAAAGTATTTATTCCATCTGTCCCTTCAGGGAAACAGTAGGTCAGCCTTTAAAATCCTTCCAGCTGTGTGTTAGAGAAAGTTCTCAGAGGATTCCCTCAATCAGATTTTACAGAAGATAGGCTGCCTGGTTGCCTGCCATTCACTCTATGCTTTATTTTTAAAGGCCATATGCTCTGGTCACATGAAGATTTACATCCTGAGTTTACTGGTTTCTGAGAATCCACACGAATCATTTAACCAAACGTTATGTGTGATAACTGATGTCCCACACAGACCTGCTTTCTAAAGATTGCTTCTTATTTGGCGCACAAACCCTTTAAGGCCTTGTCAGCCGTTTTCGGGGGGCTGGCAGATTGTTACCATACGTGAGATGCGTCTCCAACTGTGCTTGGGTGTAATGTTCATGTTATCATAGAGCCTGAGCTTTGAATGATGTCCTGTCTTTCCTGTTTTTGATCAGAAAGTTGCTGCTGTATCAGGAATCCCAGGCCACATTGTTCTGCAATTACAAAAGAGGAAAATGACAGCATATGAGAGGGAAATTCCTTTTGACTAGCCATGTGCATATTAAGATATAGTGGGAGGGAGTATGGGCCATAGAAACCTTCTGGGAGCAGAATGAGTGGGAGGTTAGCAAAAGACCTTTTTCTTTCTTTGGATGATGTTCCTCAGAGACTTCAGCATTCCAGTTCTCAGAGCTAATTTTAGTTGTTTGTGGCTTCTATTCTTTACATGCCCCTCTCTCCCCCGTCTCTCTCATACACATTGAGCCCCATGAACTGGAGGGATGCTCTCTGTGGGTAAGTAGTTGACATTCAAACCTGTAGTTTCTTAATTACCAGACCAGACATCACAAATGAAGTGGGAGGTATGACTTGTTTCCTTCCATATAAGGGAGATATATTTATATGACAAGTCTTTAGCATGCCAAAGTCCAGTCTTTTTCAAGTCCATGATGGGGAATGCTTTATTCCTTAATGCACTGTCACGGGAATGCATAGGTCAGGACACCACTTCAAATCTGACCCAGTGTGGTAAACACCATAGAAATTAACATCAGATGGATGTTTGGTTTCCTGTACAAAATGCAAAAGAGTTACTATGCTTATATATTTGTATTGCAGTAGTACATAGAAGCTCTTCACAAGTATGTCCCAAAGGGACAGTCCCTGCCAAAAAGCTTATAGTACAAATTGTGCATGGTTCAAAATTAACCTAGTTGAAAATAAACCCCTGACACCAGGGGTGGATGAGCTGATGTTATGAGCACAAAGTTCATTGAAATGTGAAGCCTCGCCCCCCATCCCACGCCCAACTATTCTATGCTTATGCACTGATGTCCAACCAATGTTTTAACCAGGGGTGCTCATAAAAATTTGCCTCTTAACCCATGGCCAAAACTACATACCAGGATAAGTAAGATTGCAAACAGAAGAGGTGAAGGTCTGAGGAAGACTGTTCCTACATAAACAAAACCACTTCGTGAGTTGGCACCTTCATTTAATGGTGCAATGGAATCTTTCCACACGTTCATGGCAGGAGGCATGATTTGGAGATCAGGGATCAGATCCCAATCACACCCTTTCTACTTGCCAATTTTCCCCTGCACCAGCAAGTTGAAAGACAGGTAGGTGTCTTAGCTGCTTGAGAGGCTGACAATCAGTTGATTGTCTGCCTTTGATTGGTTCAAGACCCCTAGCTGTCCTTGCACTGGAGCCAACGGTCAGCTGATTGTCACCCGAGACCTGGGGCTGTTCCATCTCAGTGCCACCCCCCATCCTGATGCAGACACTGAAAATCAACTGATTGTCAGCATTAGGGTGGGGGGTGCTACATGTTCAATTCATGATGCTGTACAAATGAGTCACAAAGATATTCCACAATTAATACATAAATGCATCATAAGTGTAATATGTGCCTAAAAAACAGAAGCAGGATTGGGATTGTCCCTTCTTCTAGATCTGTATGTGGATCTTCCCATCCCTGTTGCCATCCCTGTCTCCAATCCAGGACCATACAGAGGATCCAGTACAGGCCCAAAACTCATGCTAGGGAAGAGGGAAGAAATGGGATGCTCATATCTCCTCTATCAGCCCTACACAGAATTCTCAAGGCCAAGGGCTGCTTGCTAAGAACGCTTATATTTTCTCCAGAGCTCTCCAACCCCACCTCTGCAGACAAAAGAGTCCTTGGTAGCAAAGCTCTAATGTAGTCATGTTGTCAAAGACCAGGATGGAGTCTACCAGGGTTCAGAGACAGTATGGAGTCACAGAGCTTCTCTGTGTGTGGCTTTGGCCTCCCATAGAACCCATGGGATCTGCGTGGAGTATAGGAAGATCCTCCAGGCTTGAGGGTAGGTTTCATAGCTTCTTCTACTTTGGGGGAATAATCTGGGGGGAACCTCTCCCCTGTCCATATGCTTTTATAACAACTCCCATCCAAATGGCCATGATATCTGTGAATTCTCTACTCCATGGAAAAGCAACACAAGTGGTATAGAAGACTTGGCTGAAAACACTCTGTTCCAGATTTTGAATAGGAACAAAATCCTTCCTGTTATGGGGACTTCCATTCTTGTCTGAGCCAGTTACGAATTCCTCAGAGGTTGAGCTGACTAAGGAAACTGGAATTTGGGGAGTTTTTTGGCATAGTCCCAAACCAAATCCCGCTACGATTGTCCAAGAATGCGGTTTCTCTGACCCATGAATGTGAGTCTTGGAACAACTGCAAAGCTGTACTGAGATCATTGCCATTCATGCTGACTGTACTTCTCATGTCTGTCTGCCTGATTTACCTGTGGTGTTTTGCCTTATGCTTAAACTGTAAGCATTTGGGGGCAGAGGACTTTCTTTTTGTTCTGTGCTTGTGCTGTGCCTTGCCCAGTAAGCTTCTCGTGTGTGTCTGCGGCTCCTAAGTGCTACAGCAATATACATTCAAAATAATTAATGTGCTTCCTAGTTCTCTGCTCACCACTTTCTCAATGTATTGACCTTGCTTAACATATGGAAGATTATGAAATAGCATTCCACATGACATGTCCAAGTTGATAGAGCAGTAGCTGTTCTATTTCAGTAAGAAAATGGTCAGCAGAAAGAAGGGCTGAGAAGAACATTTGGACCTGTCCTGCCACAACTGGGCTGTAGAGAAGCAGCAAGTGGCTGTGGAGAGGCTGAGGCGAAGGCTAAGGAAATGAGAACTAGCTAAATGACCAGCCACCTGACTTGTGCTAGTGAAACCAGGACAAAACCTCATTTTCACCAGAACAGGCAAAGACATTGTCCCTCAAACCCAGGGCATCCAGCCACCCTAACCATGGGGCCCATCAGCTGCTACCCAGTTGTCCAAGCTTATGTTATTGTGGCCCTTTCACAACCATCTGTCACTCCTTTTATGGCCATGGGGTACACCAGTTGTCACCTCTTCCTGTCACCTATGCACAGGCTGATTTAAGCACAGCTCATTGAGGGGAGTTCTGGATAAATTTCTCAGCATGTTCTTTTTTACCTTCCAGCTCTGCAGTTTCTTTTATGAGCATTTACAGACTTGCACCCCTAAAAGCAAAATGAGTGTATGACCAAGAGCCTTCCTAGGAATAATTTGTGTCTCTGTGACCCATTTTCTCCTGTCTGAGGAAGATGGATGTAATCCAACTAGCCAAACTAAATGCTCCAGCTTGATGAAGGCATGCCAGTTTCTAGAACCAGTGGCTCGCAAGTGAGATGACCATTTTTGCATCCAACTGCTTTTGACTTTCCAACCCAAATGACCACATGCCCACTTAGAGCTGGGTTGATATAAGGCAACACCCAAACTCATGCCTCTCGAGATGTAGCAAGGTACCTGTACTGCTGTGCCATCTGGTGAGGCTTGCTGAAGGTACCACTGAAATGAAAGTCTCCAGAACTGCTCTGCCACCTGGTGAGGCTTGCTGATGGTACCACTGAAATGAAAGTCTCCAGAACAGCCAACTCCTTCAGCATTCTCCTAGCAGTCGTTTGGTGCAGGCAGGAGCAGGTCAGTGTGGGGAAAGAAGAGCATCTCTGTTACATTATGCTCCATTGTGCTTATCCGGCAGATGATCCCACCTGCTACACTTTCAAACAAACCATAGGCTGCTCTATCTTCTGCTAAGATTAAAGCAAAGGCTAAGGCAGGACTTTTGCAATGCCCCCATCCCTCTGACTGCACTCAGCAAAAACTGAGCAGAGCACAAAACCTGGCCCCAATTCAGCAGGCTCGTGAATTAATTTCTCTTCTGTTTTGTAATTTGAAATAATCTCCCCTTTTTGCCTAAAAAGGAAGCATACAGATAACATCTGAGTTCTCTGCACCATGCACTTGTTCTTCCTTCTGTCCTGAACCAGCTTCTCAGACTGCCATAATCTTCTTCCAGTTGCCCTCACATTACACACAGGTTGGCAGTTAAGAAAGGTGTGGTGTCCGGCCTAATACCAGTCCCCAAAGTAACACTCCTTGAACAGAACAGCAATGATTTTTTTTTAATTGAATGGGTGTCTGACAACGCCCCCTTAAGCCCTCCACCCCCAAACATCTGTTTTGTTAAAGGGTGGGGAAAGCAGCCTCTCAGACATGCTGATTGAGGGTGGAGCTGTTTGAAGGAGAGGAAAGCAGTGATTTCACTTTACATTAGGTAACAGCAGCGCAGGGTGTGTGTCACTATGAAAAACAAGACACTGGGTGGGGGCAGAGGTTCTTTGCAACATCTTTCACATGGAGCCTTCCCCTTTGCCGGTACAAAGCCAGAATCGGCCACTCCAGCTGAAAGACTGAAGATGTGGCAGCCTGGTTTCTCTCAGCTCTCACTTGAGGGAGGAAAAGTAGTGTTGCCAAATTCCCACAATTAGAGACGTGATTGAAACAAAATGCCAGAGCCAGCTCACCCCACACTTTAGAGACTGAGTGGAACATCCCTAAACTGCAGGGCTCCAGCTTCACTGCATAAAACAATCCTGAGTGGGAACACCAGTCCTCCGAATCTTAAAGAAACATTCAGCTCTGACTCCAGATGGAAAAAAATAACAATAATTGGGCTCTTCTCAACACATACTGCCTGCTAGGATCTTCCTCTCTCATTGCAACATTCCTGGGTTGGGTGGGGAGCATTGTCTTGAAGAGGCAGCCAAGGCATTGTTAGACACACTTGAGGGTTTCCTTTGGTATTGTTAGACATTACCTTTCCCATGGCTTAAACACTCTTAAAACAGGATTGTCCAAACATTAAGGCAGGAAAAGACAACCTAAGTGTCCTCTGAGCATCTCAAAGTTACGCCTCGTTGGGAGAAGATGATCTCTAGCTGATGTTAGGCAGCTCATGTTGGAGTAACATCAGTGTGCTCCACAGGGCCAATACTGTTAATTTGCAGACTTCCAGTATCCCAGGATACACCACTCTCAGCTCCACCACCCCCCACAGATGATCTAAGGAAGCTGCTGCGAAACTATGGGTGGGGTGGGTGAATGGTAAGCCATTTGTACAGC